AATCAATAAATTAATATTTTTAAATATTGTTTGCAGAAAAAACCAAAAATATTGGCTGCCTTACCATATCTGGTGGTGACAAAAACAATAACCACCCCATCCGAAATCTCCAAAAAGAAAAAGAAAAAAAAAAACTTTCCTCTGCTCATTTTCTTTAATTCCGCTGCAATTACATGTCCAGCAACTTTTTTTCTGTGAATATTTTTTTTTTCTTGACCATAGGAAACATGATTAAAGAGCCGATTTGATGATCATATGCTGCATTTCACCTTATTTCTCACACGGAAAAGTGGTCACTTGAGCCACATGGGGAAATGCTTGTTTTGTGTATATCTATATGTAATATATATACTAGATGAAAACTAAATTTGCAGCACTGACTTTTGATACACGAGAGAATGGGGGGAGATAGAGAGAGTAAGCTACACTGCGAGCTGTTTTCTAAAATCAAAACAGCTCAGCAATTGTCAACCCAGTAGAGAAGATACAGTGAGATTCTCTTTTCCTTTTGAAAATGCTACATCACCAGCAGCAGTACCCAGTTGACCCTTTCGAGAAGATATTGCTATCTCCACATCCTCAATCATGTTTAGAACCATACCTGCAGTTGTACCACTTCCGGATTTTACTTGTGGAGGCAACATTCCATTTGAAACAGGTGGACTTGACCTCTGTGCCCAGGAATTTGAAGGCAGAAGCAAAGGACTATTGGACTCTGGGGCCTTCAGAATGCAAAATCTATCACACCCTGTTATTAACAAGTATTTGTTACAGTTCAGCTCACCAAACTAAAGGCGAAATTACAAGCAAAAACTAGAAAAAGTAGCTCCTAGATTCTGGCAAAGTGCACAACACTCACATTCAATCCATGGGCAATGAAGAAATCTTATAGAGATCATAAATGGATATCAACTCAAGCACCGAGAAGCAGAAAGGAAGAGTACAAAACTGAAATTTGTAAAACCAACAAGTGCATGGTCCAAATTGCATGGCAGTAAGATAAAAGAAAAATTTTCCAAAATTTAGTGTTTTTGGAATGGGATGAAAGCTTATGGAAATTATGCCACCTCATTGGAAGTGAATGTCCCACTAATTGGAAATCAGGAGATCAACCAACGAAAACCTAAAACCTGTTCAACACCGAAAAGTACCGAACCACTTTGTTTATCAAATATTTTTAAAATCAGACTAGAAAGCTCAGATTAGTTGAGCAATCGACTAAACACCGCGGAGCGGGGCGGTTTAGCTAGCGCGGTGGTACGTTCAGCTTGTATAGTAACTAAATACACACACCCAAAAAGAAAAGAAAAGAAAAAAACTAAACTATAAAGTATTAATTGTTTGATTGGGTTAGATCTCTCATGTTAGAGGCTATCTTCTTTTCAAATGGTCGTTATTTAACAGTCAGAATCAGTTTGGACCATAAAAGGGATTAAATATATATATATATCGGTAAAGTGACCATTAGTCATGACTCCCAAAAAAAATTTGGAGTCCTAACCCAAAACGACGCCGTTTTATTAATCTCAGCCCCTCCCCTTTGCCTTTGCCCCTGCCCCTTTTGCCTTTGCCTCTTCTCCAATTCTTTCTCCATCGCCTCTCAACCCCTCCCCTTTGCTGCCCCTCCCCGTTGCCCTTGCCCCTTTTGCCTTTGCCTCTTCTCCGATTTGTTCTCCATCGCCTCTCAACCCCTCCCCTTTGCCTTTGCCTTTGCCTTTTCCTTTGCCTTTGCCTCTGCCTCTTTTGCCTTTGCCTCTTCTCCGATTCCTTCTCCATCGCCTCCATTGCCTCTCAGCCCTCCCCTTTGCCTTTGCCTTTGCCTCTGCCTTTGCCTCTGCCTCTTCTCCGATTCCTTCTCCATCGCCTCTCATCTCCATCCACTCCTCCGAATCCTCCGATTCCACTGCAATTCATCATCTCCATCGAAGAGAAGGGACCGAGTGATGGTAAGCTCTATCTACCCAAACAAATCGAAAAAATCTCTCTTTTTTGTTGGGTCTCTTTTTAATCATTGGTTCCTTGAATTTTTCAGATGCAATCGCACCATCGACGATAGCAAAAAAGGAATTGAAGGCAAACAACCTTCTGAAAGTATTTTTGTTCTCTAACAGCAACAGGGGTATAAAGTATTTTTGTTTTCTTACTCCAATTTCTTGTTGAATCCGGAAAAGAGAAGGTTGATTTTAGGAATTGTTTGTTTATTCAATTAAATTCGGTAGCCAAGTCATTTTTTCTTAACTATTTGATGATAAAATTTTTATACTGGTGCCTTGTAAATTATGTAAATTATTTATTCATGCTATAAAATACTAGTATTTTGAGGATTGGAGCATGCAGGTGACTGTAGTATTAATGGTGTTGTCACACTGCTTCCTTTAGAACTACTTTATGAATTTAGTACTATTTTCCTTGGTGCCCCTAAAGGCCTGGCTTTGGAGTTTTTCAGATTGGTAGCTTTTATCTGTTCCTTACATTAAGTTGCAGAATTTAGGCCTGGCTTTATGGTTTTAATTTGAAGATTGTATTTTTGGGTGTTGTATTGTTTGGACAAGGTTAATGCTTGGGAAAAATTCAAGTAGGTGAAAGAAAGTTCTTTTGTTATAACAAGTCAGATTAGATTTTAACAAATTGAATGGCATGGCAACAGAGGGCAAATGAAGTTATATTTTGTCTTTACAACTATTGGTTATCTTTTGTCTTTACAGCTATTGAGGAGCCAACTTAGCAAACGTGAGGTCTCAAGAGGTCTCCTTCAATGATGAGGTTGCTGTTGCTTTTGAGAAGAAGATAGTTTCCTTCATAGTGGAGAATGCTGTGAAGAATGAGTTGAACAAGGCATACAGCAAAAAGGCCAAAAAAACAAGACACTGTAGATTTAGCCTTAGCTTGTTTGTGGCTTTTTCTTTTTCATGTTTTTCGAGTTTATTATGACAAAATGTGACTTGTAAGCTCACATACAAAATTTTGTACTGTACAATGTAAATTAGTTATATGCAATAAAGTTGGCAATTGCCCTTTTATGTACAAAATAAATTTCCACTACAATTAACGA